AAAAAAAAAAAAAAAAAAAGAATTGAAATAACTAGATTGACCCAACTTTTCTTATTTACTTGTTGCCTTGGACAAATTATTTAATCCCTGAGATTGAATTTGCCAGTAAAATGGAGAATCCTTGTAGGGTTGTTGTAAGGTTAATAGGTAACTCTATAAATGATGGTTGTGTTTTTATTTTTAGTCTATAGCAGGACTGTTGCTAAATTTGGAATGAGTTTCTCATTTAAAAGAAATCATATGTAATTTCCTGAGTTAAAAATAATCTTTTTGTCAGAAGCTGAAGCCTGTCGAATATTGTAAATCAATTTGAAATAAAACTAAGCATTGCTGAAATTTCAGTGTAAGGCATTAGAAACTTAAAAAATTCCACATGTATTTACTGTGTTTGTGTAATTTTTTTTGTGTGTAGTCTTCTGTGTAGAATGTTGACTTCAGATTCAGATGTACAGGAATTTAAATTCAGTGTCTTCCACTTAATAGTGCTATATCCTTATAAAAGGTAGTGGCTGTATGGGCTTCTTTTTTCACATCTATAAGATGAAAATCTAATCGGATGATTAGGGGAATTAAAATGACAAAGTGTATGTTAAATACCTAGCATAGTACCTGGCACATAACAGGTACTCAGTAATTACTGTGTTTTATCAGTATTTTGAGAATACATATACGATGTATGAGTGAAGTTCTGTGACTGATACTTCAGTGTGTCAGAATTGTTATTCCCTTCAGTAGTGATCTCAAGAGGTTATCCCCATGATACTGTGATTGGAGTGTTTTTGAAACTCAACTTTTGAAATTTCTTCCATAGATTTGTGGCCCATTCTTTTGAAATCCCCAATTCAAGGACAGATTTAATTTTTTTTATAGTAATCAAAATGGCTGCAAGTTAAGTTTGAAATCAATTTGGGGACAACATTGGACTAAGACTAAATAAGGAAGACTGCTTTTCTTTTTTTTTCTTTTGAGATGAAGTCTTGCTCTGTTGCCTGGGATTGAGTGCAGTGATTCGATCTCACTCGCTGCTGCAGCCTCCGCCTCACAGGCTAAGACAATTCTTCTGCTTCAGCCTACAGAGTAGCTGGGATTACAGGCATGCGCTACAATGCCCAGCTAATTTTTATATTTTTAGTAGAGACTGGGGTTTTTGTTGGCCAGGCTGGCCTTGAACTCCTGACCTCAGGTCATCTGTCCACCTTGGCCTCCCAAAGTGCTGGGATTACAGTCACCCAGGCTGGAGTGCAATCGTGTGATCTCGGTTTACTGCAACCTCTGCGTCTTGGGCTCAAGGGATTCTCATGTCTCAGCCTCCCTAGTAGCTGGGATTACAGGCATGTGCCGCCATGCATGGCTAAATTTTGTATTTTTAGTAGACACTGGGTTTCTCCATGTTGTCCAGGTTGGTCTCCAACTCCTTAACTCAAGTGATCTGCCAGCCTTGTCCTCCCAGAGTGCTGGGATTACAGGCATAGCCACCACACCTGTCCTGACTGCTTTTCTTACTTGGATTCTACAGATGATACTAGATGAATATTAAACATAACTTAGCATTAACATGATATTGTTAGATATTGTATTGAAGTTAGTATGTAATTTCCTATGATGACTATTTTGAAAAAGGACTACTGTCTCTTGGGTACATACATTTATTAAAAACTATTACTTTAGAAGAAGAAAGAGATAAAGAAGAAACCTTCAGTGTTTATTTCTGTCTATTTACATAATAGTATTATTTGCTTATATAGTCAATAGTTTACTCCTCTGTTTTCTGAATAAAATATATTTTTAAAAATTATCTCTTCAGCGATCACCAGAATATACCAATTGCCGCTATCTGTGCAAACTTTGCTTAATACACATTGAAAATATCCAGGGAGCTCATAAACATATAAAGGAGAAACGACATAAGAAAAATATTTTGGTAAGTTCTTTTTGAAAAGTGCTTTTATTTATTTTTCAAATTGTAAAACCATATCAAATATTTTTTATTTGTGAAAATGAAAATGAAATATTTTTCCAAACTTATATTAGTAACTGGAGTGATAGCTTTGGAAGCTGTGGTTGCTTTCCTTATCTGAGGTTATCAGAAAGGAACCTTCTTGAGACCAGTTTGTTCACCCTGTAGAATGTTGATTCCTAAGTTGAGAGCGGTCAGGTACAATCTGTCTATCCAACTGATGTTTATTGATTTCTTGTGTGCTAGTTCTAGGCAGTGTGAATAAGATAGTTGTGGTTCTTGACCTAAGATTTTCTAAGATTGATGAGGGCTTGCATTGAATAAAGGTTTAAGTATAATGAGTCTTGTTAAAGGGGGAAGATTGCACTAAGGAAGTATACGAGAATATTTTACTTGATCTAGAACAGGGGTGGTTTCTCTGAGAAAGTGACATTTGAATTGAACCTTAAAGTAGTAGTTTAAATGGCAAAAAGGTGAGTGGCCTAGAAGGCTAAGTGGGAGAGTATTTTACACAAAAATTAGCATGAATTAAAAGTCTTTAGGCAGAAAAAGACATGGTATATGAATAACTTAAAGTCTAGTATGGTTGGAACAAAAAGAGAGTTGGGGGGAAATGGTATGATACAAAGCTGGAGAAGTGCAGACGATTAAGAACCTTATAAGCTTTGGGAATTTGTAATTTTTCAGTTGTTTCCATAAAAATATCCCATAGACATAGATATGAATAAAATCCTTCTAAAAATATATTCGTAAATTAGCTATTTAATTTTTTTCTTTTTAAAGTTGCAACAACTGTGTAACCTCTTATCTATAAGTTTTAGCTCATATAGCTTCTTTCAGAAATATTCTACTTGACCCTTTCAGCAAGTCTGGGTTGGATACTCCTCTGTGCTCCCGTAACAACTTTCATATACCTTGATCAGAAAGCCTAACATACTGTGTTCTGGCTGTCTTCTTTCTCTTCCTTTCTAGACTTCAGTATGCAGTATTCTAGAAGGCATATTTAATTACTTATTTTTGTTTGTGAGTTGCTTAGGTCAGTGTTTGACACAGTGCTCAATGTAGTTTTCTTGAAAAAAATGAACTGAAGCAAATAGAACAGAGAGAAGGCAGTAGTTTAGGTGATAATAATTAGGAATTTCCCAGAAATATTGGAAGATGCCTATTACTTGTCCAGGAAGCTCGGGATTGCAAGCAAGGAACTTTTTTTTTTTTTTGGAGATGGTCTCACTCTGTCGTTTAGGCTGGAGTGCAGTGGCACGATCTCAGCTCATTGCAACCTCCGCCTCCCAGGTTGAAGCGATTCTCCTGCCTCAGTGTCCCAGCTAGCTGGGATAATAGGCACGGGCCACCATGCCTGGCTGATTTTTGTGTTTTTAATAGAGAAACACAGGGTTTCACCTGGGCAAGCAAGAAACTTAAAAAGAAAATCTTACCTAGGCTGGGCATGATGGCTTAGGTCTGCAATCTCAGCACTTTGGGAGGCCACGGCAGGCAGATTACTTGAGTCAGGAGTTTGAGAGCAGCCTGGCCAACATGGTGAAACCCTGTTTCTAATAAAAATACGTAATAATTAGGGGCATTTCTACTAAAAATACATAACAATTATTTGGGCATGTGCCTATAATCCCAGCTTCTTGGGACTTCACTTTAGCCTGGGCGAGACAGTGAGACTCTAGTTAAAAAAAAAAAAAAGAAAAGAAAAGAAAAAAAAATTACAGCTATATACCTTATCCTAAATGCTTGGGACCAAAGTATTTTGAATTTTTTCAGATTTTGGAATATTTGCATTATACCTTAATGAGCATTTCCTTTGAGCATCATGTTGGTGTACAAAAAGTTTCAGATTTTAGAGCATTTCACATTTTGGATTTTCAGATTAGGGATGCTCAGCCCATATAGGGAATCTCTGGAACATTACAGAACATTTACAGAAAAGAAAGCAAACTTGAATGCAGCCATATAGGACTTCTACTTTTGGTGAAGTTAGAGTAACAGTGGATTTACTTGTCCCTTGAAATGACAAAAAACAAACAAACAAAAAACAAATATGAAGCAGTGGTTTTCAGGCAACAAAGGACAGTCAATGCATGAAAAACGAATGATGTGAGCCCAATGTTTGCTGTAGCTTGAGAGAGTTTCTAGGTTGTACTACAGGGAAGGGAACCCAGTGAACTCTCACTGTTGAAGAGAGGGACTTTAGAGTCCACTAAGTCCAAGATAGCTAGAATTCACAGGACAGTGTAACTAAAATGAGAAAACTGCACAAAAAGAAATCCAGAGATTTGTGGTTGGTCCTCTTAAAGCTACAGTATGGTCCAGTAATTTCACTTCTGGGTATATACTTAAAAGAATTGAAAGCAGAGTTTCAAAGAGATATTTATACACCCAGGTTCATAGCAACGTTATTCACAATAGCTAGTATGTGGAACAATTCTGATATCCATTGATGGATGAATAGATAAGCAAAATGTGTTGTGTTCTTACAATGGAATATTACTCAGCCTTAAAAAGGATTGAAATTCTGCAATATGGTACAACATGGATAAACCTTGAGAAATTATGCTAAGTGAAATAAGCCAGTTACAAAATGAAAAATAGTGTATGATTCCACTTGTATGAAGTTTGTAGAGTAGTCAGAATCAGATAGAAAAGTGGTTGCCATAGGCTTGGAGAAGGGGAAAATGGGGAGTTATTGCTTGATAGATGTAGAGTTTTGGTTTTGCATGTGTATTCTGTATTAGAGTATTTGGATTTTATTTTGAGCATTGTGGAGTTAATAACATATTTGTTTTTTTTCGGGACGGAGTCTTGCTCTGTCGTCCAGGCTGAAGTGCAGTGGTGTAATCTCGGCTCACTGCAACCTCTGCTTCCTGAGTTCAAGCAGTTCTCCTGCCGTAGCCTCCCAAGTAGCTGGGATTACAGGTGCGTGCCACCATACCTGGCTAATTTTTGCATTTTTAGTAGAGACGGGGTTTCATCATGTTGGTCAGGCTGGTCTTGGACTTCTGACTTCATGATCCACCCGCCTTGGCCTCCCAAAGTGCTGGGATTACAGGCATGAACCACCACGCCTGGACATAACATGTATTTCTGCAAGGTCACTCACCCTGGTCTCAGTGTGAAAGAAGCCTGAGAAGGGTCTGTTTGGGAAGACCAGTTAGCCTTTCATAATAATCTAGTTAAGCTATGATGAATACTGACCTGACATAGTAGTTAGAATGGAGTTGAGCTTTAAGAGAGATTCAGGATGTAGAATTTTGGGAGTAGAGGCCTAGGATGTTTTGATTTGAGATGTTATCATAGATTGTGGTATGGTTTACTTAGTGGAAATAAAAAAGAAAAATGTTTCATAACTTTCTGAGTTTGAGACACTTATGGAACATTTCAAGCAGAGATGTCCCACAGTCATTTGAATATAAGGATCTGGAACTTATATTAGCAGTTGGAGATTCAGGTTTGGTAAACTTCAGCAGTTGAAGTCATAGTTGTGGATGAGGTCACCAAAGGAGTAAGGAAAGAAGGTCAAGGAATACAAACATTTTAGGGACTAGTAGAGGAAGTGCAGTGCATAGATTGGTGAATGAGGAGAGTAATAGGAAAAATAGAAAGAGGAAAGTGTTAGAGAAGCCAAAAGAAAGGAGAGTTTCAAGATAGTAGTTGAAAGTGAGATAATACAGATAAAAGTAATCTAAAAGCTTAAAGACGTCTGATTTGGTGTCTGTAGTCTCAGCTACTCAAGATGCTGAAGTGGGAGGACCACTTGAGCCCAGGATTTTGGGTAACATAGCAAAACGGTGTCAATTAAAAAATAAATAAAAATGTAAAATGTCAGATTTGGCAGCTAATGAGGTTTTGATAATCTTGGAAGAAGAGCTTCTGTTTTAGAACTAAAAAAGACATCGTTTTGAGTGAGGAGGGATGAGGAAATAAAAGGAGAATCGACTCAACTTTCAGGAAACTTAATTGTGCAGAAAAGAAAGGAAGATTGGTAATAACAATAGTGACACACAGTTTTTTTTTTTCTTTTAATTTGGCAGAGTGAAATTCTCATCACAGTTTTAATTTAAATATTAATTTAATTAATCTTTCTCTTTTGACTGTAAGCTCCATGATGGCAGGGATTATATGCATTCTTTTTTCCTCATTATAACTCCATTGCTTAGCACTGTACCTGGCATATAGTTGTTCCATAAATATTTGTTGATTAATGAGTTAAATGGAGTGGAAAGAGCATATGCTTTGGAATTAGAACTAGATTTTATTCTCAGTTACACCTCGTAGTTGTAGGAAGATATTTAACATCTGTAAGCCTTAGTTTTCTTATGTATAAAATGGTTTTGGTTGTATCTACCTGGGGAGGGATATTGTGAGACTTAAATGACATAACACCTGTAAAGCACTTGGCAAAATGCCAAGTCCATAGTAGGCATTCAATAAATGGTGGTTGTTGGCCTGGCGTGGTGGCTCATGCCTGTAATCCCAACACTTTGGGAGGCCGAGGCAGGCGGATCACCTTAGGTCAGGAGTTTGAGACCAGCCTGACCAACATGGAGAAACCCTGTCTCTACTAAAAATACAAAATCAGCAGGGTGTGGTGGCACATGCCTGTAATCCCAGCTACTCGGGAAGCTGAGGCAGGAGAATTGTGATGAGCCAAGATCACACCATTGCACTCCAGCCTGGGCAACAAGAGCAAAACTTTGTCTCAAGAATGAATGAATGAATGAATGAATAAATAAATAATGACAGTTGTTGCTGTTACTGTAGAGATGAAGAGTGCTTGCTTAATGTGCTGGGCATGGTGGCTTACGCCTGTAATCCCAACACTTTGGGAGGCTTAGGTGGGTGGATCTCCTGAGCTCAGGAGTTCAAGACCAGCCTGGGCAACATAATGAAATGACATCTTTACCAAAAATAAGAAGGAGATGATTACTGAGTAGTAAAGAAAGATAGAATTCAGAGCCTAGGTGATAGTATTAATCATGATTTAAATGGAGCATTTCATTATGTTGGAAAGGAAAGGTATTATGAAGGGTTCTCTGAATATTGACTTTTAAGCTATACTTTGAGGGATGGTTAGTTTTACCAGGTGGATACACATAGGGAACAAAATGATTAAAGGCATGGAGGCCCAGTAGCACATACAGTATTTGGAGACTGGTGACTAAGTGTGGATGTCTGCCAAAAATATTGGAGCGGGTGGAGGGAATGGTTGAAGGAAGGCCTAAAAATTCAAGTTGAGGCCATATTGCTTTATATACCATGTTAAGAAGATGTTGCACTGTCTTATTGGTGCCTTGAAGGTTTTCTTTTTGAAATTTTTTATTGCGGTAAAAAATATATAAGATAAAATTTACCATTTTAACCATTTTTAAATATACAGTTTAGTGACATGAAATACATTTACATCGTTTTGCAGTAATCTCCACTGTCTGCCTTCATTCAGAAATTTTTCATCATTCCATACTGAAAGTCTGTATCCATTAAACAATAACTCCCCATTCCCCTCTCCCTACAGTCCCTGGTAACCACCATTCTATTTTCTGTTTCTATGTGCTTGTCTATTGTCCTCATATAAATGGAATCATACGTTTGTCCTTTAGTGCTTATTTCACTTAGCATGTCTTCAAGTCAACCATGTTGTAGCATCTCTCAGAATTTCCTTCCTTTTTAAGGTTGAATAATATTCCATGGTATCTGTATGCCATGTTTTGTGAATCCGTTTCATCCATAGATGGCCATTTGGGTTATTTCCACCATTTGGCTGCTGTGAATAGTGTTATTGTGACCACTGATGTACAAAACCTATTTGAGTCCTTTTTTTCTTTTCTTTTCTTTTCTTTTTTCTTTTTTTTTTTTTTTTTTTTTTTTTNTTTTTTTTGGTATATACCCAGAATTGGAATTGCTGGATCAAATGGTAAATTCCTGTTTTAAGTTTTTGAGGGATTGCCCTGCTGTTTTCCACAGTGGCTACATCATTGTACAACTTTACCAGCAATGCACAAGGGTTCCAATTTTTCCACATTCACACCAACTCTTTTTGTTTTCTGTTCCCTTCCACTAGTAATAGCAATCCTGATGAATATGATGTGGCATTTCATTGTGCTTTTGATTTGCATTTCTGTAATGATTAGTGATATTTAGCATCTCTTCATGTGCTTATTTGCCATTTGACTATCTTTGGAGAAATGTCTATTCAGATCCTTTGTTCGCTTTTGAATTGGGTTGTTTTCTTATTGTTGAGTTTAAAGGATTATTTATGTATTCTGGATATTAATCCCTTGTCAGATGTATGATTACAAATATTTTCTTCTATCTTGTGTGTTTTCTTTTTACTTTGTCAATAGTGTCTTTTGATGAACAAAAGTTTTACATTTTGTCCAGTTTTTGCTTTTGTTGCCTATGTCTTTTGTGTCATACTCAAGAAATAATTGCCAAATCCAATGTCATGAAACTTTTCCCTTCTATTTTCTTCTAGGAGTTTTATGATATTACATTTCCTAGTTATGGCTTTAGCTGTAAGTTTAGGTTTTTCTTTTTTTGTTTTTGAAATTAGGTCTCTCTCTGTTGCCCAGGCAGGAGTGCAGTCATGGCTCACTGTAGCCTCTACCTCCTGCACTCAAGTGATCCTCCTGCCTCAGCCTTCCAAGTAGCTGAGACCACAAGTGTATGCCACCATGCCCAGCCAATTTTTTATTTATTTTAATTTTTTAGAATTTTTTTGAGAGGGAGTTTTGCTCTTGTTGCCCAGGCTGGTTGTAGTGGCACAATCTCGGCTCACTGCAACCTTCGCCTCCTGAGTTCAAGTTATTCTCCTGCCTCAGCCTCCCAAGTAGTTGGGATTACAGGCATGTGCCACCATGCCCAGCTAATTTTTTGTATTTAGTAGAGACAGGGTTTCATCATGTTGGTCGGGCTGGTCTTGAACTCCTGACCTCAGGTGATCCACCCGTCTTGGCCTCCCAAAGTGCCGGGATTACAGGCGTGAACCACTGTGCCCGGCCTAATTTTTTATTTTTTGTAGAGGTGAAGTCTCAACTATGTTTCCCAGGCTAATCTCAAACTGGTTGGCTTCAGCAGTCCTCCTGTCTTGGCCTCCCAGAATATTGGGATTACAGCTGTGAGCCCATGTACCTGGCCTAGTTTTAGTTTCAGATATATAGGTCTTTGATCCATTTTGAGTTAATTTTTGTATGTGATCTAAGGTCAGAGTTCAGCTTCATTCTTTGTCATGTAGATATTCAGTTTTCCTGGAACATTTGTTGAAAAGACTGTCCTTTCCCCATTGAGTGCTCTTGGCATCCTTGTCAAAAATCAGTTGACCATACATGCCAGGGTTTATTTCTGAGCTCTCTGTTTTTTGTTTTGTTTTATTTTGTTTTTTAAGACAGAGTCTTGCTCTGTTGCCATGATCTGGGCTCATTGCAACCTCTACCTCCCAGGTTCAAACAATTCTCTTGGCTCAGCGTCCCAAGTAGCTGACAGTCAGGCATGTGTCACCACACCCGGCTGATATATATGTTTTTTTTTTTTTTTTTAGTATTGATGGGGTTTTATCATGTTGGCCAGGCTGGTCTTGAACTCCTGACCTCAGGTGTTTGGCCCACCTCCGCCTCCCAAAGCGCCTATAGGCATGAGTCACTATGCCTGGCCTGGGCTTTCTGTAACTGATTCCATTGGTCTGTATGTCTGTCTTTGTTTTTATTATTATTTTTTTGAGACAGGGTCTTGTTTGCTGCTAAAGCTGGACTATATTGATGCAATCTCAGTTCATTGCAATCCCCATTTCTGGGGCTAAAGCCATTTTCACCTCAGCCTCCTGAGTAGCTGGGTGGATCACCTGAGGTCAGGAGTTGGCGACCAGCCTGGCTAATGTGATAAAACCCCATCTCCACTAAAAATATAAAAATTAGCCGGGCATGGTGACAGGTGCCTCTAATCCTAGCTACTTGGGAGGCTGAGGCAGGAGAATGGCTTGAACCCAGAAGGCAGAGGTTGCAGTGAGCTGAGATCATGCCATTGTACACCAGCATTGGCAACAAGAGCCAAACTCTGTCTGGAAAAAAAAAATGCCTGTGTTATATTAAATAAAAGAGAGCGACTATGGCTCAGTTGTGTTAAAAAATGAAGGAGGTAGTAGGATATGAGATTATGGGTTAATTTTCTTCTTTGCATTTTCCTATGTTTTATGAAGCTTTTGTAATTAACATTTTTTATAATCAGAAAATACATTAATTTATAAAAGTCATTGCATATGTATAGCAAAGTCTCTCTTTAGCTCCTAGATTTAAATTGGCTTTCAAACTTTTAGCAGGATAGAGGTTTTTTTGAACATTTTGCATAGTGTTGGATAAAATCACATGGAAAAATCACTGATAAATAGTTGACAGGTAGTTTTCCTGTGACCATTTAACCTGATACTGTATATGCTGATGAGATATGATTCAAGAGTTTTCTGTTACATCTAAGACAGTCTGCCTTGGTGCAACAAAATAATCAAGTAAGTATTATGCTTATGGTGCCTTGGCTTTAATGTAGCCAATTATGTATCTCAATTTATGCAGATAATACAGTGGAACAAACTTTTAAAAATTTAGTAGCATCCCCTCCCCATACAGTACCTCTCATTCTTAAAATTCTGCTTCCCAAAGGCAGAGGTCTCTGTCTCTTATATTGTAGGTATCCGGTAGGTGGAAGGTGAATATTTGTTGAGTTAATTTATATCTGTCTTTCCCTGCTAAATAGAAGGACATTAAAATGGAATTTTTTTGTTTTTGTTTTTATTGTTGTGAATCATAACATTAATAGGAAAAACAAGAAGAAAGTGAGCTTCGTTCTCTGCCACCTCCTTCCCCTGCCCACCTGGCTGCTTTAAGTGTTGCAGTCATTGAATTAGCCAAAGAACATGGAATAACAGATGATGACCTCAGGGTCCGTCAGGAAATTGTGGAGGAAATGTCAAAGGTTATAACAACTTTTTTACCAGGTAGAAATACATTTCATATTTGATTTTGAAAATCACCAAACTCTTCCCTTTACTCCTCTTGAACTAGGGTGTGTTTCTTAATGTTTTCCTTCTCCTTTCTCCTTAAAAGTAGATAAGTTTTATTGTCTTATGAATGAATTTTGGGGGAAAATATTTCACACAAGGAAATTGAGAATTATGGCATAGCGCACTTTTGTACTAAGAAAACAGATTTTTTTTTTTTTTTTTTGAGACGG